TCTGTTGGGTTATGTCGGTCACTCTGGTTCTACTGCGGATATCCTCTTTTCTAAGTTTATCACGCAGAGAAACTCCGAGCATAGCCCTCTCCACAGCTCGCTGAGCGACTTCGAGCGTCCTCATACGGCCAGCAGTGAACGACCACGTCTCATTTCCATATGTCATCACTGCACTGGCAACACGCACTGGTTATACAACTTAGTTTTCAGGTTTTGAGGTATACCTGACGAGAAGATGTGTCGTAATTTCCCGAACGCTGCCCAGAGTTGCATCCGTCGATTGACCTCTCGGTTGAAGTTGGACTTACCTAGTCGGACTGTTTGTCCCAGGTAAACGTACTCGTCAACAACTTCAAGCTTAGTGCTCCCAACAACTACCGGCATAGGTGTGACATGGACATTAAACATGATCTTTGTTTTGTCCATGTTCATCTTAATACCTATCGGTTGGAGGGCACTATTGAGGTCATTGAGCATAGTGCTAAAAGGGACAAGAATCGAAGGTGAGTAATGTACTCGCCATTGATGTTAATGCCGTATCCTATCCAGTCCAGTAGCTTGAAAAAATCTTCCAATGCAGCGGTGAAGAGTTTCGGGGAAATAACGTCACCCTGTCTTACACCTTTGCAGTTGGATAGGTTTCGTACTCTGGTTCTGTACTCGGATAGCCATCGTAGCCCTACCCACTTCAGTCAGCACTTCGATATACCGACAGTCAACTTGGCACCGCTGAAGAGACTGTAGCACCGCCCAAATTTCGACGGAATCATAGGCTTTCTCATAGTCCACATACGCCAGGCAAAATGGCAGATTGTACTCTTCGGACTTCTGTACAATTTGCCGAAGGATATGTATATGGTCTATGGTACTAAAGCCTTTTCGGAAACCGGCTTGTTCGGGAGACTGGAAGTCGTCGAGTCTGCGTGCGAGACGATTTGTAATGACTCTCGAAAACAGCACGTAGACGCGGCTCAGGAGGTATATCAGTCTGTACTTCTTCAAGAGGGCGTTGTCACCTTTCTTGAAGAACAAGACCACCGCACTTCGCTCCACGCCTCCGGAGTAGCGCCATCATGGAGGACGGAATTAAAGAGCCTCTGAAGGACTTCAAGTACCGGTTTTCCACCCGCTTTCAGAAGCTCCGCTGTAATTGCATCCTCGCCCGGGGGCTTGCCGTTTTAAGGTGCTGGAGAGCCATTCTAATTTCGCTCAGACTGACGTCCGGGATATCATCGAAATAGTGTCGGATAAGACTTGCTCTTGGATCGTTACTCAAACTTGCGTGTGGCTCCAACGATGATGTGTACAGCTGCCCATAGAACCTCTCAATCTCACTCAGAATCTCAGGTGTCCCGGAAACGATGCTGCCACACTCAGTCTTCAGCTTTGACAGTTGGCTCTTTCTGGCAGACAGATCTCTGGCAAAGACTTTGGAGCCCTGGTTCCGCTTAATCGCTTCTTCAGTACGAGCAGTATTAAAGTTGCGTAAGTCTCGCCGCATGCATATGGAGACCTGTGTGTTCAGTTGCCTGTATGCTGTCTAATCTGTTGACGATTGCACCTTCATCTCCCGTCTAACAGCCATGAGATTAAGAGTGTGATTGGAGAGTTTTTGGGTTCTTCTGCGGCGGGTCTTGCAGAACTTAGCTCCAACCGTATGGACAGTTTCCACGAGCTTGTCATTCATATCGTCCACTGCATTGCAATCTTGTAGGCACTGAAAGCGGTTGTGTAACTCGAGCTGAAAGTTTTCGGGATTTTGGATCAGAGCACGAGGGGGACGGAGCTTTGACTTCATTAGACGAGACCTCTCCAACTTAACGTTTAGGTTCAGTGTGCCTCTAACCATTCGATGATCGCTGCCAGTTTTCACCCCTGCGATCACTGAGACATCACTGAACAGTTGGCGTCTGTCAATTTCATTTTTTGTCGAACCGTCGGGGCTCGACCAGGTCCACTTCCTGTGGGGCCGCTCCTGGAAGAAAGAGCTCATCATAAAGAGTCCCTCTTTCTACATAAAGTTGGCCAGCTGCTGGCCCCTAAGGTTCCGTTGCCCTACTCCAAATTTCCCTAACTTCAGCTCACCGCTTTCTCTTGTGCTTAGTTTGACGTTGAAGTCTCCCATCAACACCGTGTAGTGGGAGGAATGCATGGCTCTAGAAATATCCTTATACATTTCCTCCACCTCCTCATCGAGATGTGCCGAGGTTGGTGCGTAAACCTGTATGACCTTCAGCGAATACCGTTTGGTGATTCTGAGTATCAGGTACGCGACCCTCGCCGACACACTCCCAATCTTTACAACGTTATTGACGAGAGACTTGTGGACGATAAATCCGACACCTCCTTGGGACAGATGGTCGCCCTCCCGGTGATAGAACAAGTTGCCGGACTCCAGGATTACCGTGTCCTACCCCTCTCTTCGGACCTCGGATAACCCAATAATATGCCAGCGCAAGTTGTCTACCTCTTCTTCCAACTCAAGTATCTTCTCGTCAGTCCTCAGGGTGCGTGCATTATATTTTGCCAGGTCGAGTCGTCGTAGGTGGCAACCGAACCTCCACCGGAGATTCTTAGCACCCCTTGCCCCGCCGTCACCATGGTCATCACTGTAGCCAGGAATAGCGGGGCCGCTGGGGACTGGAGGCCATTTGTTTGCGTCGTTACTCGTGGAGGTTATTTGCCATAGTTGCCATGCTTGGCGAGCGGGTTGGCAACCGCAGTTTTTTTATTATATCATTGCTGTTATCAGGAAGATGCTGCTGCCCATCTCCTGCCTGTCTCCCTCTGTCGCCTCTTACGACGACACGGGAAGATATGGGGTAGTGGATATTCTCAACCGCCACTACACGGCAATTCTCAACAATTTATGGTATATTAGAATATACTTCCAAATAATGCGAAATTGTCCTAATTTAGTCGTATGTTCTAAAATAATAAGGTTGAATAGTTTGCTGAAGGTTTTAAAGTAGTAAAAGGTTGTATATAGTTTTCGGTTTAATGGTGCTGGTAATGGTGCTGGTGGTCGATTGTGAATTCACAACTCTTAGTACTGTCTACTTGAAATAATTCATCATCATTATAGCTCATCAAACGTTCATTACCTCACGTACTTGTCGTAATGGTCTCACTTAGCAGGTAGGTTGGTAACCACTGTTTTTTATTATTTTAAGCTGTTATTAGGGAATGCTGCTGCCCTTCTCCCATTTTAGTTTCCCCCTGTCTCCTTACGATACTCATGGGACATGAAGTATTTATATATATAGTATTCATGAAGTAGTGGGTGTTCCTACACTCCCATGACACGTTAAAGTAAAATGTAATTATTAAATAAATAAAACTAGTTGTTACGGATTTTACCGCGTAAATTATATTATTTTATATTCCCGATGTTTCGAGCACTTTAAAGCACCAATGGTCACGGGGGTACTGAGGTATTCGACGTCCCAATGTCATTGTTAACTACGGCTACCTCCACATTAAAATTATTACTTATAGTATCTTGAAGTTTTGCAGTTGTATGCTTGGATTGTGGTTTAATTTTATTAATTATGGGATCCCAATTGTTGAGTCGAACGTGTGCCTACTGTACTGCCATATGTCTCTGGCAAGGTTGGCTACATATTGAAACGTGCTTAAATTAAAACTTAATTCAAGCTGACAAAGAAGATAAGCCAGTTTTACCATCAGTGAAGTGTAATGTTCCTCTGCAAGATGCAGGAGTGTACAAACTTGTTGTGAATGTGGTCTCTCTAAAATAGGACAAACAAAAAGACCAATAAAACCCGCGTTAAAAAAACATAGCTGATGTGAGGAATCGATGCTCCGGGAAGTTTGCAGTCTGTGAACACGTAAAGGATCGCCCCATCACTATATCGGATTTGGTTGACCACAAATCCTCGTTAAAGAACAGCGATTCCTTCCAAGAATGATTTGAGAGGTTACTGAAATAAAATAAAAAACATCCTTATTTCAAACAAGAAGATGGCTGGGTGCTACCACCTGCTTGGGTTTCTATAATTAAATCCCAACCCTATCCAACACCATGGGTGCTCGAAACGTCGAGAAAGTAAAATAAATTAATATACGCGATAAAATCCGTAAAAACTACTTTCATTTAAATATTTAGTGTTCGCGTAAATACCAGAAATCTTTTTAAAATATTTAATAGTATATAATTTTTACATATTTTTGTGCATAGACACTATTTCATAAAATTATCATATTATATAACTGAAACATAAGATGTGAGAGCAATTCTTTTGAAGTCAAAGAAGTATTTTCCTATTATACGTATTGGATAACGATATTGCCAATATGGCTTCCAGCTACGAGACAAACAAAATAAATTTTTGTGGTTCAGAGCATAGGTATCAATTCTGGCACGTAACCTTGTGTATCTAGAGAACACAATATCTTTGAACAATAGCAAACGATTTATTATATCAGTAGTCCATATTTCTCTATTTTATTTTAAGTTTTTATTTCGCTATCTGTTCTTTCAGGAGAATAAAGGTTTGAATTTGCTCTTTGGAATATAATTTTCAAAGTATCATTTTAAACCAACTTGAAGAAGAAAAAAGAACTAAACTGTTATCCCCGTAGTTTTTCATGTGTAAGATTTATTCAGAAACTACTCGACATATTTTATGATTATTTGACTGAGGTGATCTTCATAATAATGGGAGGATTCTAGTTAAAATATATAAACGTTTTGTATGTTTAAAATAAAGCTTATTCATATTAAAAAAAAGCTTATTCATAACCTTGCGCTTGGAAAACGAAAGAAGAAAATATTTTGTAGCGAATAGTACTTAAGTTAAAATATTATTAAAAATACATAAGTAGTAGCCGAATAATATTAGAAGTCTTAACGGGACTTATACGCTTACTATTTCCGAGTTTATTAAGTGTTTAAAATGATAAAAATAATCAAATCTGTACCAGCAGCTTTTGGTTTTATTTCATCGTACAGGTTGAACTCTAGATTTGTTTCTTACCGCTTAGTATATTCCATATTACTTTCTGGTAACAGATCGTCGCTGTTTATGGTGGCTGCAACTGCTGTAACAAAAAATCAGTATATAAGTATTTTAAAAAGCATTCAAATTACATAAGGGCCTCCAGCTTTTAAGGTTTTTTCAGTGTTAAATAACTAATCATACAGATGATTTGTCAATGCAAATTGGTAGGGCTCCTTTTCTGCCCAGGAGCCCGTCAACGTATTTGTTTGTTACCCTTTAACTTATTAGCCCCGCCAAATAGCAATGCGTGCACTACTCTGTTACCACCCTTTAACTTATTAGCCCCGCCAAATAGCAGTGCGTGCACTGCTTTGTTACCACCCTTTAACTTATTATTCCCGCCCAATAGCAGTGCATGCACTGCTTTGTTACCAACCTTTACTTATTAGTCCCGCCAAATAGCAGTGCATGCACTGCTTTGTTTGCACCCTTTAACTTATTAGTTCCGCCAAATGGCAGTGCGCACACTGCTTTGTTTCAATCTGAAGCTTAGATCTAGTATAATAACAGACTATCGAATATTCCATCTAAGTCCTAAGAGCTTCTGCTTCTTAATAAAAAAAACGTTTCTCTAGCCTTCTTTATTTAAACTGAGTTGCAGATTTCCATGGCTACAGTAACTATTAACCTTCAGGTAAACTTTAAGTTCATTTGTCAGTTCGGTTCACACGCGTAAATCGAATTACCTAGCAGTGGTATTTTATTATGGGCGTAAAAACCACAAACGAGCATACGCGATGTGCTATAGATACCGATATTCTATAGCACATCGCGTGTGCTTATTATAACTGAGGACTAAGATCAATTATCTCTTCGCCAAAAACAATAAGTCTCCGATACTCATCACCCATCATACAAAATAGAGTAGCAGTCTGATGCTATTTCATACTGCTATTCTATGCGAGCGTGGTCGTTCACAAGTCTAGCTGACCCATTTGTGCGGCATCCATAATACGAATAGCTTGTCTCCACAAAGTACAAATGGTAATGCCACTCCACATCACTTGTCTGTAGTCTGTCGCCAAAACCTCATCCACCAGCAGGGTACACAGCGTGTTAGTGAATTTCAGATGTGAGCACTCAGTTTAAATATAATATATACGTGGTAGAGCCACGCTGCAGCTATATTATGGTTTAGCATGAAAGGATCGGCTCGACCGGGGAAGGACCACGCTCTCACAAAATACCAGCGTAAAGTAGCTGCTTGATGCTGCAGTGTTTCCTATGGTGAGTGTTTAGAACCGGAGACCCGTTTTACTAGAATCGAGGCATTCCGTCTTAGTCCTCAGAGGTGACAACGCATCTGTAGTTCGATTGAGGTTTAATGGTTTAATGTGGATGTATATGAGCTACAGTCTCCACATACCATCAGGTGGGCTGTGTGCTCGTTTGTCAGCCTAATTCTATAAAAAAAGAGTAAGCAATGTTACCATAGATTTGCGTCGAAATAAAGCAAAATTAAACGGAAGATAAGACGCATCATCCCGATAAGATCTCAAAATAAGAACAAAGAATTGCTTTTGCTAACCCTCAATGGCTTATGTCCTCCCCCACCTTATAAGGCAATATCTGAGAAAAGCCTTCAGTGCAGTACTTTTGATACTGTAATGAAGGCTTTTCATAAATTTGAACGCTTAAATTTGACGGCTCCATGGCGTAGTGGCTTAGCAATGAGTTACATCACTATGGGCCGCGGGTTCGAATCCCGCACGGAACAAATATTTTTATGGTCTGCAAGTAATTGTTTCGGGTCTGGATGTTTTTCCTTGTGAAATTTATGTTTGTAAACTGCCCCCACGACACAGGAGAAAATCCTCGGAAAATCATAGGAGGTATGGAGGTAACGTTTAAAAAAAAATAAGATTAGATAAAATAAGATAACTA